AAAAAAAAAAAAAAAAAAAAAAAAAAAAAAAAAAAAACATTGCATGGTTAGCTGGGTCATGTCAAACAATTAATTGTATTTTCAGTGGTAGTGCACAACAGATGACGTACTTTCGAGGATAGGTGCACTTCTGTCATTGACCCCACTGGTCGTCTTCAGTTTAGTGCCTTTGCAGATGTCTGACAGCAGAGCTCCTCTTCCTTTAGCGTCATCTCGACTTCGTTTTGGAGGTGTGGTGTTTGCCTGAAAGTCAACACATTTGTATGTTAAAAAAACCTGATCTATTCATTTATTTAAAAATACATTAAAAATGCATTTCATTGACTTCAATTTCGCTTTAAGACAAAATTTGTTCTGAATTTCTGAAATTAAAATTCATTTTGATATTTTCTGTGGGGCATAAAGAATGAAAATTATATGAAAAACTTTTTTTCAAGAATAAATCATTTTGTTTTTTAAAGACTACATAATGTTTTATTATTATTTATTGGAAAAAAAGTAACAAATGCTTTAATGCTCAATAATATAAAAAAATGCCCACTAAATTAAAGTTATATGGTGAAACCAACATGCAGAAAAAAAAAAAATTATTCCATACAATTGCAGACCCTCAAGGCTCTGTGTCAAAGTCAGTCTCTTAAGTTATAAGATTATTATTATTTTTTTTATAACAAGTAGTGTCACTCTCCAAACTCCAAAATCTAATTATATTTTATTAACTTTTTTTTTTTTTGTAAAATATATCAAATATCATATGAATGATATTTTAGGAAATAAAACGAAAAAATTATATTTCTAAATTAATAATTGACTTTTTTGGTCGAAAAACTACTTTGAAAAATATATAAAACAATGATATTTCTTAATTAAACCTAATGATATACTGTATATATAAAATTTGATAAAAATGTATAAACATTTGAAAACAAAGTTCTTAAAGCTATATGAGACCTACTTGAATAATTTTTTTTTAAAGATCTTGGCACGTGTGCTTTAATCTAGAATGTTTAAATAATTTTCTTTTTTTAATTTTGTCATTGACAAAAAAAACAACAACCATAAAGGGAGTTGAACTTAGAACTAAGGAAGCAACAGGGAGGATAAATCGCTGCAGTGAGGTGAAACACATATTCTACCCGCTCTTTGCTTCACACTGACCTGGCTAAAGCTGGGGGGTGGTGGAGGTCCAGGTGGAGGGGGAGGAGGAGGAATAGGCATCTCGGCAAATACGGAAGACGTCGACAGTCACCTCAATCTTCAGCGCTTGGTCTGAGGTTCCCACAAAAACTCTGCAAGGTGGAAGAATTACAGCCATCAGACTTCCATGAGCAGCTTCAGGTAAAACAAAAGATGGTTGTAACTAAAACAATCCTTTAAGAACAGTAACACGACATATTAATGATTAACGTCATCAATGTGGCGTCACAGTACCTCCCAAACTACCTGACTCTTCCAAGAACTACACAACAGCAGACAGCAAGCTCCACATAGTAACGTTTCAAAAATACTCAAACAAAAAACCCCTATTCCTCTTCCTTTTTTTCCAAACGTTTCCCTACCAGTTCAGGCAGAAGTGCTCGCTCACATGTCCACAGACGAAGTGTAGTGATACAAAACTTCAGTAGCATTAACTGGAATGTCACTAAGCAGGATCTGCCGCTGCACAACGACTAATGGAATTGAGAGAGCGTTAAAATGGGTGAAGCACGGCAAAACGTGTATAAAACCAGTATGCTTGATATGAATGATATTTTAGGAAATAAAACGAAAAAATTATATTTCTAAATTAATAATTGACTTTTTTGGTCGAAAAACTACTTTGAAAAATATATAAAACAATGATATTTCTTAATTAAACCTAATGATTGATATATACTGTATATATAAAATTTGATAAAAATGTATAAACATTTGAAAACAAAGTTCTTAAAGCTATATGAGACCTACTTGAATAAATTTTTTTTAAAGATCTTGGCACGTGTGCTTTAATCTAGAATGTTTAAATAATTTTCTTTTTTTAATTTTGTCATTGACAAAAAAAACAACAACCATAAAGGGAGTTGAACTAAGAACTAAGGAAGCAACAGGGAGGATAAATCGCTGCAGTGAGGTGAAACACATATTCTACCCGCTCTTTGCTTCACACTGACCTGGCTAAAGCTGGGGGGTGGTGGAGGTCCAGGTGGAGGGGGAGGAGGAGGAATAGGCATCTCGGCAAATACGGAAGACGTCGACAGTCACCTCAATCTTCAGCGCTTGGTCTGAGGTTCCCACAAAAACTCTGCAAGGTGGAAGAATTACAGCCATCAGACTTCCATGAGCAGCTTCAGGTAAAACAAAAGATGGTTGTAACTAAAACAATCCTTTAAGAACAGTAACACGACATATTAATGATTAACGTCATCAATGTGGCGTCACAGTACCTCCCAAACTACCTGACTCTTCCAAGAACTACACAACAGCAGACAGCAAGCTCCACATAGTAACGTTTCAAAAATACTCAAACAAAAAACCCCTATTCCTCTTCCTTTTTTTCCAAACGTTTCCCTACCAGTTCAGGCAGAAGTGCTCGCTCACATGTCCACAGACGAAGTGTAGTGATACAAAACTTCAGTAGCATTAACTGGAATGTCACTAAGCAGGATCTGCCGCTGCACAACGACTAATGGAATTGAGAGAGCGTTAAAATGGGTGAAGCACGGCAAAACGTGTATAAAACCAGTATGCTTGTGACCTGAATGGCTCATCTTCATTACATTCAAGCTATTATATGCTGTAATCGAAACGCCTGTTGCTGCTCTATTTAATCATGGCTTTGTGTATGAACATATCTAATAAATAAAACTGCAAAGGCACCACACAAACCTCTAAAACAAATATAGTATATGATTTGTTTCCCGAAATCTACTTGTGATCGTGAGTAGATGTGTCAAAGAAACTTATCAACCCACTTCTAACCCTAGTGACCTTTAGAGGCAAACAAATCTATGGAAGCCCGTTTCCGCCACTGAATAAAAAATAAAAAAGGTAATTCTGACTTTTTTTCTCATAATTCCGTGATACAAACTCGCAATTGCGAGTTAAAAAGTCATAATTGCGTGATATAAACTCGCAACTGCAAGACATAAAGTTGCAATTCGGAGAAATAAAGTCAGAACTGTGAGATATAACCACAATTCTGACTTTTTTCCTCAGAATTGCAAGTTTAGGCTATATCTCGCAATTCTGACTTTCTAACTCGCAATTGTGAGTTTATAATATCATGCAATTCTAAGAAAAAAAAGTCAGAATTTTGAGTTTATATCTCGCAATTCTGACTTTATAACTCGCAATTGTGAGTTTATAATATCATGCAATTCTAAGAAAAAAAAGTCAGAATTTTGAGTTTATATCTCGCAATTCTGACTTTATAACTCGCAATTGTGAGTTTATAATATCATGCAATTCTAAGAAAAAAAAGTCAGAATTTTGAGTTTATATCTCGCAATTCTGACTTTATAACTCGCAATTGTGAGTTTATAATATCATGCAATTCTAAGAAAAAAAAGTCAGAATTTTGAGTTTATATCTCGCAATTCTGACTTTCTAACTCGCAATTGTGAGTTTATAATATCATGCAATTCTAAGAAAAAAAAGTCAGAATTTTGAGTTTATATCTCGCAATTCTGACTTTATAACTCGCAATTGTGAGTTTATAATATCATGCAATTCTAAGAAAAAAAGCCAGAATTGTGAATTTATATCTTGCAATTCTGACTTTATAACTCGCAATTGTGAGTTTATAATATCATGCAATTCTAAGAAAAAAAGCCAGAATTGTGAATTTATATCTTGCAATTCTGACTTTATAACTCGCAATTGTGAGTTTATAATATCATGCAATTCTAAGAAAAAAAGCCAGAATTGTGAATTTATATCTCGCAATTCTGACTTTATAACTCGCAATTGTGAGTTTATAATATCATGCAATTCTAAGAAAAAAAGCCAGAATTGTGAATTTATATCTCGCAATTCTGACTTTATAACTCGCAATTGTGAGTTTATAATATCATGCAATTCTAAGAAAAAAAAGTCAGAATTTTGAGTTTATATCTCGCAATTCTGACTTTATAACTCGCAATTGTGAGTTTATAATATCATGCAATTCTAAGAAAAAAAAGTCAGAATTTTGAGTTTATATCTCGCAATTCTGACTTTATAACTCGCAATTGTGAGTTTATAATATCATGCAATTCTAAGAAAAAAAAGTCAGAATTTTGAGTTTATATCTCGCAATTCTGACTTTATAACTCGCAATTGTGAGTTTATAATATCATGCAATTCTAAGAAAAAAAAGTCAGAATTTTGAGTTTATATCTCGCAATTCTGACTTTATAACTCGCAATTGTGAGTTTATAATATCATGCAATTCTAAGAAAAAAAGCCAGAATTGTGAATTTATATCTTGCAATTCTGACTTTATAACTCGCAATTGTGAGTTTATAATATCATGCAATTCTAAGAAAAAAAGCCAGAATTGTGAATTTATATCTTGCAATTCTGACTTTATAACTCGCAATTGTGAGTTTATAATATC